AGATAGATAGATGATAGATAGATGATAGATAGATAGATAGATAGATAGATAGATAGATAGATAGATAGATAGATAGATGATAGAGATAGATAGCAATATAGATATAAAGATATATATGTATATATACACATACACACTGTGGTCTCTGATTTCTTTCTGTACTTATTTTTATTTTAAACAGTCTTTTAATTTCATATTATATAAGGATTTAGCTCTTTTTCATTCACCCATCTCTACTAAAAGTAGTGCCCAAGATACGAAAGCCAACTAAACACAACCTGAAGCTGAACCTTGAGGAGCATCGTGGATACAGTTCTTTATGTTTTCATCTTCCTTGGAGTTAGCACTTGCTTTTGTTTTCTGTTTGGCTCTCCGTGTATCTGTCACCAGCACATCTTTCCCCTGAGTCAGTCCTTTAGGTCTGGAAGGCATTCTGGGTATTTTGTCTTCCTGTCAGTATCAGCTTAGGGCCTCCCAACCTTGCCACTGTGTGCATTCCTGGTTCATAGCTTCCTCATGCTAGTCATTTTCCAAAGAAAGGGCACATTGGAGACAAACAGAGAACCTACATTTTGAATCTATCTTCTACCATTACCTATAATTGGAAGTTAGCTTGGAGTAGAATTCCTGCTTGGAAACGTGCAGCTCAGAATGTCTAAGACATTGTCCGCTGTGCATTAGCTGATAATGCTGCTCTGCCATTCCAATTCCTGACCTTTTCGAATTAATTTTTCTGTGTCTGAAAGCTTATAAGTTCTTCTGTCTGCCTTTGAACACTGAGTTTTCACAAGGGTATGTTTCTCTTCATCCTCTGTGCTTGCTTCCAAGGTGATCCTTTCAGTAAGGAAATATGTCCTCCAGTCATGTGAAGCTTTCTTATATGTAGTTATGCTCTGGTGTCTGCAGAGAGTTGGTTCCAGGACCCCCTTGGATGCTCAAGTTCTGTGTGTGTGTGTGTGTGTGTGTGTGTGTGTGTGTGTGTGTGTGTGTGTAATCATCAGTAGATGAGTTATACACCCTAGTACAATGTAAATGCTATGTAAACAGCTGCCATACTGTATTGTTTAGGGATAATGATAAGAAAAAGCATCTATGTATGTTCATGGGAGATGCACCCTTTAGAATACTTTTGATTGATGATTGGATGAAGCAGAGTCATGGATGTGGAGGCCACTCAGTTGCATTGTACTGACCAGTTACTTTCTCCATGTTCTTTTCACTTTCTTGAACTTCTGTAACTCAGGTGTCCGTTTCCTATGTGATTTACTGTGTGTAGTTGTTTTCTATGTAGCCATTTTCTTGGCCAGCTTTCTGGAAGATAACCTTACCTTTCAAGCCAAGACCCAAAGACTGTCTTTTCGTTCCTGCTAGTGCTCTTTCTAATTTTCCTTTCCATCCAATAGCCCTGTTTTGCTCTCCAAATGTTGCCAATGTCTACCTAACTGGGAAACAGAGCCAGGGAAGGTCTCATTGCCCACACCACCTCAAGGCATCAACCTCCTCTTTGACACCTGCCCAGCTCCTCACCCCAGTGCTCCCAGTGAGGGATGAATCTTATCATCCATTCCACAAGTTGCTTAGCATCCTGTCCCCTACTAAGGGGAAAGCCCAGAGGGGGAAGATCCCCAAAAAGACAAGACAGAGCATGATGTTCATGCTCACAGGCAGCCCAGAGTGAGGTCAAGAGAAACACAGAAAACAATCCAACTGTGGAGGTAAAGGTACTTAGCAGGAATATAGAGGCCACAGGAAAGAGACCTGGGAGGTGGGAGCAGAGGTCTGGACATCAACAGACAAGGCTGAAAGTGTTTCCTTCCTTTAGTGGGACTAGGGAGCTAGCTATTAAAGGTTTTGAGTCAGAAATAGGACAGAGTCAATGCCACCTTCCCAGTGCTTCAATGTGGCAGGGAAGTCTAGTCCCTCTGGTCAAGGGCTCTGACACCTCCACATTGATAGGTGTGGATGACGGCGCCGACATCCCCAGAGAACTGGTGGTAGGCATCTATGAAAGGATCCAGCAGAAGGAGCTCAAGTCCAATGAGGACCACGTCACATATGTCACCAAGGTGGAGAAGTCCATCGTGGGCATGAAGACCGTAAGTGCCTGTGCAGAGCAGCACTGGCCAGCAGCACTTGGCTTCCTCTCCCATGGTGGGCTGTCTAGCCAGCCATTTCCTGCTTCCTGTCCTTCCTTTCTTCCTGTATCTCCTCCTACATTCCTCCTTGCCTTTCACAAAGGCATTTTTATGATTACTTACTGAGTGCATTGCTGCATGCCAGCCATTGCATCCTTTTTTCCCCTTGCCTAATATCCTCATTGCTTCTTGTCACCAGCTGCTGTAACTGAAGTAAGACGTCTAGAGGGACTGATCAGTGATCCAAGGCTGAAGCTTGAGTATGTCCCGATGAGAAAGTTAAAGATACTGTAGGATGCAGTGGAGACCAAGAGAAAGTTCAGGATCCCCTTTGTAAGATGCAGTGGGTACCAGGCATTCCTGGATGGTCCTAATGAATGGAAAGCAGGAAATGAACTCATGTGGACTGTAGGTGGTGGTGTCTCCCAGTGTGGAAGTAACATTTGCTGTGACCTGTGCCCAGGCAACATGCTTGTTTTAATGTCAATGTCCTCTGTAGGTGGCTGTGCACCACCCACTTCATACTGAGAGTGCATGTGATACAGAGCAGGCTCCTGTCCCTCCCACTGGAGGCCGACTCCCGGGTCAGGATGGAAAACCAGGCCACCTTTGATCTCTGCTCTAGACTCTCTTATTTGTACAGCAAGGACCTTCACTCCAGAGCCTTTATGGCACAGGTCTTAGCAACTGACTGCTCTACGAACCTTTGATATTTTATGTGCTAGAGTGGAACCAGGTGTCCCCCTAATCCCCTCTTTCTTGCATACTTGCAGTTCGTGGCCTGGGACATGGGGGTCAAGGTCATAGGAAGAGAAAGACTGACAGTGGATTTTAAACACTCTGAGTGCTTGTTTTAATTTCCATTCCTTCCAGGATAACAAAGCCCTTCTCCTTTGGCTCTGCTCCCCTAGAAGTGCAACGAGAGGAAGAGAGTCCCAGATAGAGAGGGGTTTAGGGTAAAATGGAGGCCTTGTCATAGAAGCAGAGCCCTTACCCACTCCCTGAGCCTCCATCTCTTATTCTGGAAAATGGGTATTTTGGGCTGGGAAAGGAGGGCCCTGAGATTTCTGGGGCTTTGCTGCAGAGCCATATCTGGGTTCCAGGTGCTGTCCATGCCACACCGCCGCCTGGTCTGCTGCAGCCGGCTCTTTGAGGTGACTGATGTAAACAAGTTGCAGAAGCAGGCCGCACACCAGAGAGAAGTGTTCCTCTTCAATGATCTGCTGGTGGTGAGCAGCACTGCCCGGGACTGGGCCGGGTGGTGCCAAACCTGGTACTGTCCTGAGGCCCCTGCCTACTGGTACTAAGCAGGACAGGACTGGGCAGGGAGGGACTAAACAGAGTGGGACTGGTCAGGGTAGACCAAGACTGTAGCTGTGGTGGATGTGACAGTTCCCACTCTATAATGCATAAAGCTAAGGCACAGACTGTGGCTGTGGTAGATGTGACAGTTCACCCTCTATAATGCATAAAGCTAAGGGACAGACTGTAGCTGTGGTAGATGTGACAGTTCCCCCTCTATAATGCATAAAACTGGGCCACAGACAGGTTAAAGTAGAAATGAACAAGGCCCCAGACAACCTGCCTCTCTATGATACAAGGAACTTGGGGCAAAAGGCATCACATTGGCATCTCATTCCTGCCTGAAAGGGTCAACCAAAGACCCATGTCCCCCGAATCCAGGGAGAGGCTGGAGTGCATGTGCATGTTTTGTTCTCTGAAAACAAGTGTCCAACCAATAAATCTTTAATCTGTGCCAACTGTGTGCGAAATACAGTTCCAAGTACTAGGGAGCAGATGGAGGTGGATTTTTCTTCCCTTCAGTGAACCACATGGAAACCTCTGCAGAGTCTGACAGAGTATCCTCTCTCCCTTTGTCCACCCTAACATTCTAGCCAGTGACCCTTGGAGGTCATCCTTCTGTAACTAGAATACCAGCCCTCCTTGCTGCCTGTCACTTGCAGAAACCAATGAGCAGTGACAGGAATTGGATCTTAAAACTTCCCCTTATTCAGAGAATAAGAAATCTTAAAAGACAGCAGATTAACATCTTAAAAACCTGTCTTCCATCTCATCTCCAATGAGCAGATTAGAGAGACAGAGAGAGAAAGAGAGAGAGGAGGGGAGAAGAAAGGCAGTCAGTCATTCCTGAACTCAGTCTTGCCTCTGGTCAGGTGCCCTGCCACTGGTTTTTTGAGACTTGCGATGTCTGTGCTTCTCTCATACGTCCCTTGCGATCTTCCCTCATTCTGTGGATATTTGAGTTCAGATACTTCTTGGAATACTGAGTCTAGTTAGTGACCATGGTTTTAGATTCCTGCAGCAGCACCTAGCCTGGGAGTGGGAGTGAGTGACCTGAGAACAAGCAAATCATTAACAGTGTGTGTGCTAAGCCGGTAATAACACATATGTGCTGGTGCCTTTTTACAGTATGTAATACAAATGTGTCTTTATAATACAGAGTATATAAGTATCCCTATCAGTCCCTCCCTGTCCCCTGTCACTTCCACAGAGCAGTGGCACCACCTTTCTGGAGTGTACATCTGGGTCAACCCTCTACCAGGTTCCAGTGTGACAAGAGCAAGAACATAGCCCCATCTTTTGTCTGATGTCCCCTTTTCTAGTTTGCATCCCTGTCACTGTGGTAAAACACTCTGACCAAAACCAACTTGAAGAAGGAAGGGTTTAGTTAGCTTACACATCCAGATCATAGTTCATCCTCCAGGGAAGCCAGGACAGGAACTGAACCATGAAGGGTGCTGCTCACTGGCTTGCTCCTCTGACCTGTGCTCAGTCTGCTTTCTTATACAACCCAGGGCCACCTGCCCAGAAGTGGCACTGCCCACAGTGGACTGGGTCCTCCCACATCACTCAACAATCAAGACAATGCCTCACAGACACACCCACAGGCCAATCTGATAGAGGAAATTCCCCGATTAAAGTTCCCTCTTCCCAGATGTGTCAAGTTGACAACTGAAACCAACCATAACAGACCCTGAAAGTCTCTGACCTCACTTCCTGCATACTTCCTGGGCTGTTCTAGCACCCTGGCCCCTAGAGCTGCTCCCACCTGGCAGACCTTATTCTGGCAGCCCCTTCCTTTGCCTCAAAAGCTGCTCGGGGGCTAGATATAGCCACCTCCTCAGTTCAACCAGATCTATATTTGAATGTGATGTCCCTGGTTTACCCTCTTCCCAGGCAAGGCAATCTTCCCAGGTAATTTCTATTTCCAATCCATTTTATTTTCTTCAAAAAATTTCCAGTTTCTGGAATTACAGTATTTGCTTTGCTTTGATTTTGCTGGGTGGGTGGATGGGTTCACTCTCTTGACTGTTTTCTTCCGTCATCACATAAGCCCCCTGAGGGCAGGGCTCTCTGTCATGTGTTTTCTCCTGTATCCCCTGTGCCCAGCTCATAGAAGATACTAAATAAAATACATATTTATATTTTGATTAACTGGCAACTTGACCTTCCATTTCAGTAGGAGACAGAGATAGAAAATAAGAAAACAAATTCATGAGCTAATATCCAATGGAGGGGCTATAAAATCAATAAAATGGTGGTGGGACAGAGCAATGGGAAAAGAGGGGAAACTTAGGGGCTTGCTTTTAGTTTGTAGATTTAAATGGTATTTGCTAGCCTTGTTCAAGCTGTGGGAAGGAAGACAGTGTGGCTCCAGCCTAAGCCAGTGTTGAGCTTACAGGCCAGGGCTTCTGAAGGCAGAGGCAATAGGCTCAGGTGGGTTTGAAGTAGTGACACACACAAGCCTATCTGTACATATGTAGTGTGTGAGTGTATCTGAAGTGCACAGGTATGCATCTTTATGTGTTGACTTGGTGTTCACAGTGTCCTGGGTATTGGTGCACACACACGTTTACAGGGTCCATCTCATCTGATTCTATCCCTCTCTCGGGCAGATTCTCAAGCTGTGCCCAAAGAAGAAGAGTTCCTTCACATACACCTTCTGCAAGGCAGTCGGCCTGCTAGGCATGCGGTTCCACCTCTTTGAGAATGAGTGTGAGTCCTGGGGCAGTCCAAATGGCCTGGAAGGGTGGGGAGCTTCACAAAGATCCTGCGCCCTTCCTACACCTGGCAGGCTGAGCCTCCCTGCTGCAGCTGGTTCACTGCCTGCTGGGGTGTGGCTGGGTTCCAGATTATTCCCACGGCATCACGCTGGCAACACCACTCTCCGGCTCTGAGAAGAAGCAGGTACTGCACTTCTGCGCCCTGGGCTCTGATGAGATGCAAAAGTTTGTGGAGGACCTGAAGGAGTCCATTGCTGAGGTGACAGAGCTGGAGCAGATCCGGATAGAGTGTAAGGATGAACCCCAACTCCTGAGGCAGATAGCTGGGGTTACCAAGAGCCAGAGGCAGCCTTTCCACACACCAGACTCTGCCTCCTAAGAACTGCTCCACCTGCCCTGCCCCAGACCAGCCTCTGAACCTCTGAACTCACAGCCCCACTGCAGCATCCCATGCTGACGTGAGGTTACTTCATGATTAAAATGAGCCCCCACATATGTGTGCATATCTGTCAGCTATGTGGGGTGCATGAGGGCCTTTGGCACCTAGGACCCTGGCCAGGACAGTCAAGGGAGTTGACCCAGGCAGAGCGGACCCAGGAGACCCAGGGGCTTGAGTGCTTTTCTGCTCATCATACCACCTATGCTGGATAGCTTCGGTTATCAACTTGACGCACCTGGGTAGAAGGAACCTCAGCTGAAGAAATTCCTCCATTGGATTGACCTGTGGGGCATTTTCTTAATTACTGAGTGATGTGGAAGGGCCCAGCCCTCTGTGGGTGGTGCCATCCTGGGCAGGTGGTCATTGGTTGTATAAGGAAGCAGACTGAGCACAGACCATAGGAGCAAGTCAGTAAACAGTATTCCTCCCTAGTCTGTACTTTAGTTCCTGCCTTGAGCCCTGCCCTGGTTTCCCTTCATGATGACCTATAAGCTGAAAGTGAAATAGACCCTTTCCTCCCCAAGTTGATTTTAGTCAGTGTTTTTATCATAGCAATAGAAAGTAATTAGGACACCACCTTTCTCCCATCTAATCCAAGTACACATAGGATTCCGATTAGTTTCATTTCTCTAATCACCTTAAGTCTACACTGCTCCCTCCACTTTCTTTTTGCAAGACATTGTCTTTTTAAAATATTTTATTTATAATTTTTATTTTATGTGTATGAGTGTACTGCCTACATGTAGGTAAGTGCACCCGTGTTGTGCAATGTCCACAGAGGACAGAAGAGGCCATTGGATCCCCTGGAACTGGAGTTACAGACAGTTGTTAGTTAACATGTGGGTGCAGGGATTCGAACCAGGGTCTTCTGCAAGAACACCCAGTGTTCTTAACCGCTGAGCCATCTCTCCAGCCCCAAGACATTGTCTTTTTTTTAAGTGTTTTGCCTGCATATATGTAAGTGTATCCATGAATGCAGTGTTCACAGAGGTCAGAAAAAGACATCAGATCCCCCTGGAATTGCTCATGCAGAGGACCCGGGTTCGGTTCCCACCACTGACATGGTGGCTACGAACCATCCTTAACTTCAGTTCCAGGGGAATCTGAAGCCCTCTTCTGACCTCTGCAGCATTGCATGACACGGGTGCACTCACATAATGAAGGCAATACACTCAGACACATAAAATAAAAATAATAAATAAAATATTAAAAAAAGAAAAGATGGTAGATGTCTTCAGCAGTGGGTGTTTTTTTGTTGTTGTTGTTTATTTTGGAGACAGGGTCTCTCTATGTAGTTAAATCTGATCTTGAACTCTTGATCCTCCTGCCTTAGCCTCTAGAAGTACTATAATTATAGGAGTGTGACTCCAGGAGGGCAGTGCTTTTTAATCATCATTTTTGGAGCACCCACTAGGCACAAGGCAGTTCTGGATAATCAGCTAAACCAGTGACATGCAAAGTCTTATTTTCTTTGATAGATGAGGGTCAAAGAAGGTATCCTAGTTTACTTCTCTGTTTCTACAATAAAATAGTCTAACCAAAAGCAACCTAAGGAGGAGAGAGTTTATTTGGCTTGCAGCTCACTGTCCATCATCAAGGGAAGTCAAGGCTGGAACTGAAGCAGAGACCATGGAGAAACGATACTAACTGGCTTAGTCTCCTATCATGCCCAGCTACTGTTCTTATAAAGCCCAGGCCCGCTTGCCGATACCATTGCTCACACCAAGCTGGGCCCTCCTACACCAATTAGCAATCAAGATAATACTCCCACAGACACGAGCATAGATTATCTAATGGAGAAAATTCCTCAGTTGAGGTTCCCTCTTCCCAGGTGTCTCTAGCTTGTGTCAGGTTGACAAAAAAACAGCACGATTGTCCCCTCATCAACTTTACACACAAATACATCACTATTAAACCATAATCTTTCCCCTTTTTGTTTATCTCCAAGATATCATGTTAATAGCACAACTCTTAAAAGTCCACAGACCAATGTGAAAGAGAAAATTCCTCAACTGAGTTTACACTCTAGTTAGTGTCAAGCTGATCAAAACTAACCAGCATAGAAGATAAGCAGTGCTAATACACAGGTAGTGAGAATCAGAAGTGGAGGAGCTGGCATACCCAGTTAAGAGTGATTCTTAGTGTTCTTTCTACTAGGAAACTGAGAAAAGAGATTCTATCCACAATTTCGTAAGACAACACTTGTTATTAGGGTAAAATAAAATCCAAAGCACCAGAAGCTGCTTGGCAAAGGAGGATGTGTGCAATACATGTTGACTTTCTACAGCATTTGCTTACTTGGGCTCAGGGGCGTCACAGACTCTTTTCAAGAGGACCCAAAGGGCCAACTTTTGGCCCAGTGATCTGGAACATTCTTAAAATGTGTCTTGACGTTGCTTCACTTCTCTCCTTGTCAAAATGCCTCCAAAATGGCTCCACCACACCACCTGGCCTCAGTTCTACTGAAGGAAGTACCTCTCTTTCCATTAGCCCTGGGGCAGCCCAGAAGTCCCTTCACAAAACAACAGAGGAGCAGATCTGGTCAGAATTCATTATGTCAATGGTTTGGGGGATAGGAAGAACATCTCCAGCTGACTCTGGGATAAGAGAGCAGGAAGAATGACAGGCAGAGGGCTACCTCGCAGTCTTCAGAGGAAGCGAAAGGGGGGAATAACAGTGGAGGAGAGAAGAGGTCAGCAAGGCAGGCAGGAGAGGAAGTGAGTCTGTAATGGAAGCCAAGAGTAGCCACCATTCAAGTACCTACTATAAGCCAGGCACTAGGCAGAAAACAGGACCAATCATTTAATTCCTATAACTTCCTATGTGTGCATATTCTCTTCATCTTACAAATAGGGAAATGGAGGTTAGCAGAGCTTAAAGGAATCCAAATTCTCACACCCAGGTTCTCTGGACTCATGTAATTATGAAGCTAATTCCTTCAAAGTCAGTGAGGTCCCTTTGGAGCCAGTAAGCAGCTCCCAGTTCAGTAAGCACATGTAGTAGTGATGGATGGTGTGGTTTCCGCAACAGGGACAAACTGCTGGTCTGAGTACTTGTTGTTCAGTGTCCCTGGATTTTAGACGGCCAGAGAGACAGCAAATGGAGCCCAGGTGAATAGCTTTAATAAAGGGAACTTGAATCAAGTCCTGTGGAGCTGAGAAGCTGAAAGCAATTTTAATAACACCTGTCAAATCTGCATGCATGGTGACTGGCAGTTCCCTAGCACCACTGGGAAAGCAAGCTGGGTAGTTTCCAGTATGGAGAAGCCTCCAGTGGAGGACAGAGACACAGCCACACAACCACGGAATCCCCCACACACACCCCTTGGGAGAGCTTTGAACACTCTGCAGGAAGCTCAGCAGCTGGGGCAGGCCCAATCCTGCTAGGCACCCACGGAGGGATTAAATGTTACCAGCTGCGCCTAGGGCTCATGTGCTACGTTTTCTTACATGCTGTCCTACTGCTAATGCATGTGGAATGCTTGTCTGTATCAGGCCTTGCTCTGTGTGCTTTAACCTGGTTTTCTTCCTAATGACACTGAGTAGCGGGTCCAGCTGTCTCCTAAAGGGAGGCCTTGAGAGATTTAGTGACATACCTAAAATTACATAGCTAAGAAGCATCAAACCAGAGTGTCAACCCCAGCAGTTCACCTCCCCACCCCACATCAGCTTCTCATGGCCCCTTGTCATCCAGCACAGATGCAGTTTCCAGAGGGATTTAACTGGCTATTAGTGCTGAGCCCAACCCAACATCCTGTTAGTAGTGGGTAGGAGAGGGCCCTCCTCCCTCCTTACCCTGCTCTCCCTGCTTTTCCCACATCTCTTCATTCATCTATGCTGGGGAATGAGGGTCCCCTCTATTCACAGCCTCTCACTTCCTTAGGGGAACTGGAAAAGCAGCAAGGAACAAAGACACTCTCTGTCAGATCCCCTGGAGCCCAGATGGACCCGCAGTCAAAGCAAGGATCTCCTACAGGTGAGTCTGGACTCTGCCCTGGCCAGGCCCATGCAGAGGCCATCATCAGTCCTGCATTTAACTCTGAGGGCTTTGGGTGGGTGCCATGCCATTTCTCTGGTTATTTTTTTCCATGGAGGATCTCCAGGGTTTCTGTCTTTAACCTCAAGACCTCAGCAATAGGGGTAGAGAAAGAAGGCCTCAGAGTGCAGGAATTTGTGTGAAATGTCACCATTTGCCCTGCAATCAGGCCAAGAGCTTTGATGTCCTGACCTCAAGCCAGATGAGCCTCAAACTCAATTTCTCAAATGGTTTCTTCAGATTCAATTGTTCCCTCTAGCCAAGTGGTGTCAAAATAACTGAGAACTCAGTATCCCCTTTGGTCATTTCTCTAGATCAGCTTCCTCCACATGATACTCCATCCTTTGTGCCTGCTACCTCAGCCTTACCCACTGGCAGGGAGCATGGCAGGATCGGGGAGGGGCACTACCCTCAAATAAAGATTAGAAGAGAGACAGAAGACACCCAGAAACCCTCCAGACAGTTGGTGCATTACTTCCACTCTTCAGTCTTCCATCCCACAATCAAAGCTTATTGAGTGAGCGGCCTGAGCACCAAAAAGCAGTCTCCACAGGATGACCACTTGAGCTGAAGAATTCAGGGGGCTCCTCAGTCCCAAGCCCTCCACAGCTTGTCCTATAGCCAGATTTGGGATACACAGCATCCAGAGACTGGTCACTCCAGCTAGGACATGCCATTCCCTTTCCTGGCAAGACCTGGAGCTCTCTGTGCTGTGGAGAGCATCTGAGATGTCATTTATATCGATGCCATGTCATCATGCCACTGTAACTCTCCACTCCACCTGATTCAATCACCCCCTAACTTTATAAGGCCGTTGCTCACTTTCACAGCTGCCTAAATTTCACCACCAGCCCTCAGCTGAGATTTGCTACTATACCTACACCCTGCATTCCCACCAGCCTCCCTTTTGGAAGTTGCAAGGCCTGGTCAGATATGGATGTTTATCTCCAGGGACTTGCCCATGTCGCCTCCACAGAGAAGTGTTTATACTTCCCAAATGATAGCTCAGTTTCATCTGCACTTTGGAAAGCCCAGGACAGGGTACTGTCAACCAGTGAGAAGGGAATGAGAAATCTGAGGGGCTTCAGCTAGGGAAGAACTTAGCCAGAAAGAATCATTAAGCCATTCCTGGGAGTCCACAGAGTTCCTGTTGCATATCAGGTGATATCAGGTAGTGAGAAGCCTTTGTGGTAATTATAGGCCATTAGCTGTTTGATGGGTGCCAGGCACTGTGGTGGGTACACTATGGAGCTGAGATCCTAAAACACTACCACTCCATTACCAGAGCAAAGGATAGCCCCTCCCTCAAAGAGCCTGTGGTAGAAGGAGGCAAACTACATTGTGCCCACATTTCAGGGCCCACTCAAAAGCCAGCTTTCCCAGGCCATCTTGGCAAAGGTTTGATTAGAAGAAAACTAGACTAAACAACACCAGTGTCAGAAAGAATGTCAGAGACTTCCTTATCTGTGGAGGACCAGAGAGATGTGGCATCCTACCCAAAATTTCACAGCTACTAAGTAACAGCAAGGCTCTTGATACCCAGCCTGCTATGCCAGGCAGCATGCCAGTGGAGCGTGCATGGCTTCTACAACCTTGCTGCCCATACCAGTTAACTGAAGAGATGCTGGAGGGTGGGGAAAGAGGAAGGCCAAGGGTTCCAAACAGGACTGGTGGAGAATGAGCCCTATGCTGTTTGCATTCAAAGCCAAAAGGGAAGCGATGGCAGGCGAGAAGGTGGCAGAGAGCTCCGGGGAGGTAAGTGGAGACCTGGTGGCGTCCAGGTGAGTGATCCTGTGTCCCCTTGTCCTTCTTCTCACTGTCTCTGTTGTTTCTCTTCTCAGGTATTAATCAATGCCTCCCCAGCCCGACTCACCATTTTACCAATTTCAAGAGATACAATTAAAAGTTACTGCTAGCATGGGTAATGCCACTCTTCCAGCACCTATTTAAGCCGCAAGCACTGCCAAATGCTCCCCAGCCAGCCAGCCCAGCCCAGTGCCCTCCAGGGAGATGAAGCCACAACACCCTGTGGCCCTGCCTCCCACAATTCCTGCACACCCACATTCCCACATCCCCACATCCCCAACACACTGCTCACTGCCTCCCCCCAATACTTGTATCAGAGACTCCATGTTCCCTTTCCAGCTTCTCCCATTCCCCTACCAGGGAGCCTGGGCTTCCTCCGAGCATCACCCCTAAAGTCAGTTCCCCTGTGATTACTCTTAAGGACTTTTGGATACCTCTGGGGAAGTTGGAGAAATGGGATTGGAACATCGAGGTGGAGTTTCTCCCAGGAGCAGCTCATCCTTGGAAAGCTGGGCACAGGGGTGGCCATGGGGTGGGGACAGCACAGGAGAAAATGAGGTAGAGCAGGGCTGAGGCACCTTGAAGGTTTTCCTAGTAAATGAAGCCCTTCTTCATTAGAGAGAGGCTGCCATCCCCAATCTACATGGGAAAGGCATCTGGAAGAAGCAACTGGCCTTTTCCAGCCCTCCCCAAGGCTGCCCCAAAAGGCAGCATACACTGCCTCTACACTAGACCCTCTTATTCCCTCATGAGCCCTCCTAAGCCTGCCTGCTTGTAGACAGTCCTCTCCAACGCCCCCAAGCAGGAGGGTTTCCCTAGATGTGAGGGGAGAGCCCACCCAGCAGCCTGCCAAGCCCTGGGGAGCCACAGGATGCCTGGGAGTTCAGTTTCTCTCTGTCCCTGCACCCCATCCCCCACGTGTGTCTGGAGGAGGCACCTTTACCTGGAGGAGCTCCCTGCCCCAGCAGCTGACCAGCCCCCAGGGTGGGTATTCCATCCCCTGCCCTGCGCCCGCATCTTCCTGCAGCTGCCCATTCTCAGCCTTGCAGATAATCCTAGTCACCAGACCTGCAGCACATTCCTCCTGGGACTGCCCAAGGAGAACCAGCCATCTGAGCCCCTCTTCCCTCCTACCTGCCCAAGGGGGCTAAGTGGCTATCTGCAAGGCTGCCCCACCCTTCAGCTAGCTCCAGGGCCCCCCTGCCAGCCTCTGCTCCCCTGTGCAGAGAGCAGCCTCGCCTCTCGGCTTAGACCGAGCTCCCTCTTCTCCAGCATTGCCTGACCGAGCCCTTGTGGCAGGCGCTTCTCCATCTTCTCTGAGCTATTCTGATTGCTACTCATGTCCATTCTCTGTCTCACGTTAAAAAAATAAGCCAAGACTGAAAGACAAATACTTCACCTTCTCTTTCGTATGCAGGATCTTGACTCTCTCTCTCTCTCTCTCTCTCTCTCTCTCTCTCTCTCTCTCTCTCTTAGAATAAGAGGGCTGTTTGACAGTTTGCTGTCACTTTCTGCTTCTACTTACTGGATCTTAGTCCAGGCTGGGATGGGACTGGAACTGGGATGCAGATGAGGGGAAGTGAAGAATGGGTGCAGGCTGAGGCTGCTGGCTACAAGGGAGCAACTGGGGAGGAGGAGAAGGAAGGCTCACTGGGCCTGGACTGCATGGCCCAGGATAGGGGTTGGAGATTGCTGTGAGGTGGGGATAGAGAGGCAGAGCAGGCAAGCCTGGTCTGGTTCTCAGGCTACTTCTAGAGAATCATTCAGAATACAGGCAGGAATGAAAAGAGCCTGTGCCCAGCATTGAGACCTTCAGTCTATGACATCTCCTGAGAGAGGTCCTGCCCTCTACAGGCTGTGTGTCTCCACAGCCAAGAGCACCAGACACCTTTAAGGGGAGTTCAGGCCTAGGGAATGCTGCCCAGGTATCTGATGCGGATGGAGAAGAAAGCCTTGTGACGTGCTGATTATAGTGCTGAGGCTTCAGAATCTTGAAGGGTAAAGTCTTAAGAAGCCTTAAGGGGTAATGAAAAGACCAGAAATGGGGTACCTGAAATCATACTTTTAGGCAATAAACGGGACTAAGAGCTCTGGAGCTCTAAGAGAATTTGGAGGGATTCTGGCCCAGGCCTGGGATAAGGTAGTCTTCCTGTAGCCTCAGTGTCCCCACTCTGCACTCTGAGCAGTTGGTCCTAGATGGTGGTACCTGAAGATAGACGGGCCCAATAGAAAGCTTCTTCAGAGAAAAGGGTCTCAGCTACCCCTAGAAGGCCTAGGACTTTTGAGAGAATGGTGATGTGTCATAGCTACAGGCTAGGGAGCTAAGGGATAGGGCAGAAAAGGATGAAGAAGTAAATCCTTCTTCCAAAACCCTAGAGGCTCCCTTATGTCCATTTCCTCTACCTCTCTGAATGAAAGATCTCAGATGAGAATTCAGAAGGGTCACAGATTGATTTTGGGGGGTAAGAAGTTTATTAGAAGTTATTAATGTCACAGACAGACAGATGATAGATGATGATAGATAGATGATGATAGATAGGTAGATAGATAGATAGATAGATAGATAGATAGATAGATAGATAGATAGATAGATAGGCAGACAGAAAACAGCTATGTGATGGGGCTCTGAGGAGAGTTCAGGTCCTGCCTAGCACCAGAGACAAACAGCGTGGTTGGAGCTCTGAAGAGAGAAATCAGACCCCACTTGGATGGCAGAAGCGGGGATCCCTTCTTACAGCTCTCTGAGAATGGGGGTGGGTTTCACCACAGTAGCTTACAGCCAAACTCTGATTCCCAGGCAGAGAACTGAGTAGGGAGAAGGATGTGTGGCCACTAATAACCCATTTGATGATAACTCACTTCCCCAAGTAAGAATCTCTGGACCTGAAAGTGTGTAAGCTAGAGATTCACAGACAGTGAGATGCCTGTCCATGTGACGAAGCAACAGTCTCTTCTGAATTCTAACATTACAGTCTAACCATGCATGCCACTTGGATCACCTGTTCCTGACCCACACAAGGGATCAAGATGGAGTGCTCTAGCTCTCCCCCCTCCCCATAGAATGCAAATTTAATCAGGACCAGCTTGAGTGGAACAGGAAGGTGATAGGGACCTGACTCTGCCTTTGGCTATCCCAGTAGCTCTCAAATGTAGGGTCATGGTTTTGGTGGGATCTGGGACAGGACAGGACAGGTAGGTTCTTCAAAGTCTTCTGGCATTCTGGACTCAGACACATTGATAATCACAACCTTAATTCTGCAACTTTCTCCTCAATCACAGACCTGGGCAGTAGGAGAACTGTGCTACTTCTCAAGCTTAGGGAGTGGAGCCTTGGCACATGGGGAGGAGTTTGCCCCGCAGAACCATCTCACAGATAAGATTGAGGCCTGGTGCACTATGGCTGCCATGGGCAGACTCCATTCTGCCACAGAAGAGTCGTGCCCAGAAGCAGTTTTCCTGTGGGTAGAGAGACAAGCAGGAGATCAAATCCTGGGCTGAGAGCACCCTATGCACATCAGGCAGGAGAGGCAGGGAGGGAGGCTCCGGGAGGCTTGGGTGGCCAGTCCCAGCAGCTGGGAATTAGTGGTAACATTTCATGCTTCTCTGGCTGTTTCTAAACTAGGTGTCAATTCACAACAGGCTTCAAACGTCCCAGCACAGCCCCGGGCTGGGGTGCGAGAGGAAAGCACCACCGCAGCCACCACCACCATCACCGTTGCTGCCAGACCCACAGCCTAGCCCCCTGAGGGAGCAGCCCCCACCACTGCCACCGCCGCCACCTACACCCCCAGGCACTCTGGTACAGTGCCAACAAATTGTCAAGGTCATTGTCCTGGACAAGCCCTGCTTGGCCCGCATGGAACCCTTGCTGAGCCAGGCACTGTCCTGCTATGCCTCATCCTCTTCTGACTCCTGTGGCTCCACACCCTTACGTGGTCCAGGCTCCCCAGTCAAGGTCATCCACCAGCCTCCACTGCCCCCACCGCCACCCCCATACAACCACCCTCACCAGTTCTGCCCACCAGGCTCCCTGCTGCTCCGGCGCAGATACTCCAGTGGCTCAAGGAGCCTGGTGTAAGCCCTGCCCCCAGCATCCTGCTGTCCTAATGGGGTGGCCATCCAGGGGCCGGACTGCCCCTTGCTGCTCCTCGTACCCTGGCAGGATGCCTCCTTGGCCACTGATCACTTGTGGAAAGAGAATTCCCTGGCATGAGGGTTTGCTTGGCCCAACAACCCTTCACCTAACTCATTTGAGCATCTCCCCACAAATCTATAGACACCTCCTCACTCTTCCAGGGGTTTCACATAGCCAGATGGACCATGCCTCCTCTGTGCCCACCATACTCCCCTAATTGGACTGTGGATTGAAGAAAACTGAAACCGAGGGGCTGGTGGGCTGATGGACTTATAACCTAGGTCTGCTAGTGTCCATGCCTTGGGCCAGTGGACAAGAACAAGAAACTGGACTGGCCAGCAGCACAGTCCCAAACAGAGGCAGCTTACCCCAGCACAAGGTATATCTATGGCCAAGCTGAGTAGTAGAGACCTAGCCCTGGCTCCCTGGAGGGGCCTAAGGGTAACGGATATGAGGAAGTGGACTTTTTCTGCTGCCCTTGCTCCCTAAGCCTGCAGTCAGAGTAGGCTGGTCCTTTAGCTCCCTACAGACATTGACTTCCCTAACCACGCCCTCTTCCCTGTCACCCCCAGAGCCTTCTGAGTGGCCCAGATCCAGAAAGCTTCAAGAAAGGAGGGAAGAAGACAGGGTACCTGGTTCTTTTTAGATTGAGTAGTAGGGTAATAGGATCATGGGATAGTACCTACAAAGTGCACTTTCAGGAGCATTTCTTAGTTCTCTAGCTTCAAACGATTCTCAATCAATGCCAAGTGCACACAGGCAGTCATACAGAAACATCTGTAAGACCCGGGTAAATTTCTTCCTTGTGGAAGCAGAAACAAGAGGACAGAGTACTGATCTGTTCGCAGAGGCACAACTTGGCCCAGAGTCAGAGCCCGAGCCCCCTCCTACATGATTCTGTGACCTCTGGGAGGGGCTTGAGTAGAGAGACGGGGTGGAGAAGTGGAGTTCTAGAGTCACTGTGTCGCCCCTGTTACCCCAGCCTTCAAATAGTCTCCCTCCTGAAAAGTTAGAGCCAGTGTCGCTCACCAGCCTCCCAGATGGCTCCAGAGAGCCCCCAGAGAGATGAGACAGCTCACAAAGACTACAGGGGTGATGTGGTGGCCTGTCCATTCATGGCCCTTTCAGGAAAAGTCTATCACAAGCCATAAGCCAGGCCAGCCTCCTCTATTCTGTGGCAACAGTTATTTCTGTTCTTCCTCAAGATCCCTCCCAGTCAGAGCCTGTTTTTAAAACATCCCAAGAAATGAGAGACAAGTGAATACTGCTAGGTCTGAAGTGAATTGGCTTCTCCCAGTCCCTGCTGCACAGCCCAAGATGCAGCGCCCTGGACCAGATAGGTAACATGAATGATCCCAGATCACACAGTTGCCAAATGACCTCATTCCTTGTGAGTGTGTATGTGTGTGTGTGTGTGTGTGTGTGTGTGTGTGTGTGTGTATACATGTGTGTGAGAGTCAGTGTGTCTGTATTCACTCAGAGGTCATGAGAGGATATGATGTCACCCATCATGAGTTTCTTTCTGGCACTATCTGTAACTTTCAACCAAATGTGCCATCTTCCCAGAGGCATTCAACCTATCTGATCTTTTCTGAATTGGCTGCCTTGGGTCTTTTCTGGAACAGGAGTATTCCAGTCAGAGCCTGTCAAAATGAAACAGTTGACAGATAGGGTGCATGACTCAGACACCTCACCCATCTGGGTCAGGGCAGAAAGGGGTGGGGCCTCAGGAAGACAGGAAGCTTCCAATGGGAGTGGATGAATGAGGGGGCTGAAAATAGAGGGAAAATTAGGACTAGGATGTGATATATGAAGGGGAATGGGTTATGAATGTAGCTAAATGTATTTATAGAATCAGGGCCATGGTGTCAAGGGCTGGTGAAGAGGGACAGCCCTGGAATAACCCAGTTCCCACTATCAGGCCTTGTCCCACATCAGGCTTCAAGCCAACAGTGCCCTCTGTCCCTCAAACCTCAACTGAAGCCCAACTTTCCAGATGAGCCCCAACTCCAGCAGAGGTTTTGGGGCTAGACTACATGTTCAGGCTCTGAGGACCTGGACTCTCAGGCCCCATGCACCCTTTTCCCTGGGGAGAGGCTAACCCAGATTTACTGCAGTGACTGACCTAGACTCTGCTGGTTACAGCAGAGTTGTACACAGGAACCAAACCTCCCTGAGGTCACAGCATAGAGTAGTTCTGAGCTGTTGGGGTTTTGAACTGCGATGGCCTAGGGCAAGAAGCAAATGGCCCATCTCACTGGTCAGGGGAAGTTAAAGCCCCAAGCGTCCGTCACCTCTCTCCCCTGATCAGCCAGAAGGCTTATGGTGGGACCCATCTGTGTTCCTGTCCCCAGACACTTGGGAGAGGCCTCATGCCCCTCCCCTTATCCCTCTGGCCCCAACTCCAGAATCAAGTGGGAGATGGAGCCAGCTGTCCTACCTGCTTTTGGCCAGTCCCACCTACAGTTCTCAAGCAGGTCCTGTCTTGGCAGCCTGTCCTGGAAGCCAGCCTGTCTTTCTGTCTGCGAAGAGGTCTTGCTCCCACAAATACGTATCGGCCCTGGACCTCTGATCCCTGACTCCACCTGTCCAGAGCCTGCCAGGATGTCTCTGGTGCCCAGTGGGAGTCCCTGATATCGTGTGTCTGTCTGTCTCTGCGCCAGCTGCACATCCTCCAGTGGTACCTCCCCTCCCTCCACGCACCTGTCACCTGCTGGAGGAGCAGCTCTCTGGGGACAGGCAGGGTCACTGCACTCAGCAACTAATCCAAATGGCAAATATTTTGTAACAAAATAGCCCAGAGGTATTTTATCTGTTCAATTCATAGAGTTTTAGAGATTCTATCGAAATGTGTCACTTGAGCAAACTTGTGTCAGTTGTTTTCATTCTTACAGAGAGGGGATGCTTCTTACATCAGAGTGTTTCCCTGGCTAGGGTCTGGATGGAAGACAAACTGAACCTCAGTCGTCGGGGCTTCCCAGATTCTCTCTGTCCATAGATGTCATTCTTCATCCGGGATAAATGACGTCTTATTATGTAACTCAAATAGGCAGGAGATTCACCAGAAGTTCAGGACCTACCTGAACATAGTGAGTTCCATGCCAGCCAGAGTTATACAGCAAGATACTCTATCAAAGCACAAACAAAAGATAGGTCCAGGAGGCCCAAAAAAGAGCTGAGGAGAGAGCAAGGGCTTGAGGGCAGATTCACAGCATAGCATGTCATTCAGCTCAGCTCTGTGGATAGGGTAGGAGGTAGTTGAGGGTGCTCTTTTCTGACACAAGACTAGAGGTAGCTGAGGATGCTTTCTCTTGGTGGGGCCACAGGAGAGAGCTTTTAGCCGTGCAAATGATCAAAGGACCTCCCCTGAGCAGAACAATTGGTACCTGCAAAGAGGGAGCCCAGCATCCCTGCTGACCAGAACACTAAGCACCCAGACAGCTAAATAGCTCCAGTGCCCTCCACAGGCTGGTCCCATTGTCCTCTGTTAAAGCCTTTGGGAACATGAGCTCACCATCTTCCCAGGAAGTGGGAAATTCCAGAAGCAGAGACCAGCTTGGATCTGTCCCATCCTGGGAATTCTCTACTGGCCCCCTGAGAGAGCACCATTGAGGTCCAAGCTGGGGCTAGACCTGGGAGAGAGCCTGGAGCCAAGAAGACCTCAGGACCATCAATGCCAACAGGCTAGCAGGGAACTTCTCTCCCAACCTTCCAGACCCTGCGGTGGTCCAGGAGGAAGAGCGCCCTTTAGAAACAAAGGGAGACCAACATGTTCTGAAGAAACTTCTGGATCCATCTCCATTCCCTGCAATAACCCTAAGTCATTGACTTAGAAAATTTCCAGGGGTCTCAGATTTTATGGGTTTCTGATGAGAGCAATGGGCCAGGATAAGATGCTGGCGCCAGATGTTGGTGAAGCAGGTGGGAGGATTCCATATCACCACAAGCAAAGCTCTACCTTTGAAGTCACATGGGGGAATTCAACAGGGACAAGAAATGTATAGCTGTGTCCACACAGAGGGCGGTGACAGGACTGGGGCCTGGCAGGATGTTAAAATGAGCATTCAAGGAAAGACTGTCCAGCCAGGTCAGGGTCAGGAGAACAAGCTGAGACCACATCTACAGGATGACGTGGACGCATCTTTTTGAGACAGAAGCAAGGCAGTTTGCCAAAGGACTATGATCTGATATATAAGCTTATCGACACCTTAAAAAGCTCTCATTAAGTTGTAAACACGGAACAAAAAACACTCTCACTGAGGAAATCATAAAATTGACTTTCTAGAATGTCCAGATCTGGTGACCATCTGGTTACCAGAAGCCCAGACCAAAGACAGAAGGAGCTAAGGTTTCAATGGGCAGACTGCTCTGAGGAGGCAGAGCTGGGGGGTGGGTGCGCTGTGGGACCCAGATGGCTCCCATGGACTGGGGAGGCAGACTCTAGAAATTCTGAGTCCCAGCTTCCCTGGCTGGGATAGTGTTGCCAAAGCAAGATGCACTCATGTGACTCTGACACCTGAAAACAGAGGGATGGCCAGCTCTGCTCCCGTCTTCCCCGATGCTCTGACCCTCAGATGCCCAGACTGTTCTCTCTGGGACAACACACAATTCTAACAGCCTCTCCACTACCTTGTCCACTGGGTCTCTTCATTCCCCTCCCACCAACTTCTTCCTCTGACCCACAGGGCCAACCATATGGCAGATGAGGTCATAGCCGTGGATCAAGAGTGATCCTTTCTTTCTCTGAAGGAAACCCACCCCAGGGCACACATGGCTGTCTGAAGTAGGGTCTATTCCACCTAACTCACTCCAAGCAGACACTTTGGAGGGTAGAGAGTTGTCCTCTCCCAGAGAAGTGAGGCCCCACCAGAGCTCAGGGGCCAGAGCACAGGTCAAGTTCTTTACTGCCCCCCTACTCTGCTCTTCCGAAGTAGGCAATCAGACCCAGAGCTAGACTTCAAAGCCTTGGAAGCTTGGAAACAAGGAGATTAAATGATCGGGGGTGTTGGAAGGGAGCAGTTCCAGAACTGGTCCCAGCAGGAAAACTCCATCCTGGATTAGGCCTGAGGATGCAGGCACTGGAGATAGGTGGGAAGCATGGGAACTCTGCCTACTCCTGCTCCCTCCCATCCCCCAGCAGGCCTGGGTGCTTTGCTCCCTAGGGAACAAACAGCCCCTAGCAATTCAGGGCTTCCTGCTCCCACGACCTCAGGACTAAGTGACCTCAAGCCCAAGCTAGGCTCTGGGAAAAACTGCAAGTAGCTTCAGGGAAGACAAGGGGCCCTTTTCCTATGTTCCAACAACCTAAGCAGACCTGCCTTACTCTTCCCAAAAGGCCCAATCCCCCCTCCAAGATATTTGGGCTTCACAGCATCTGCCCTCAGGATATAGAAGACAGATGTGGAAGAGCCTTATCCCCCTTCACAGACAGGCACAGGATCCCCTAGCAAGCAGACTCGTAGGTTCCTTAGCTAACACACTAGGATAGTTGTACTTTATGGATAAGAGGATTGTTTAGCTTAAGGAGTTACAGAAAATGAGATCAGTCCAAAATAAGAAGACGGAAAGAAGTGATAAAGACAACAGCAGAAATGAGCTAGAAAATGCGTATAGTGGAAGGAGTCATAGAACCAAAAGTCCATTCCAAGAGATGACCAGTAAAGTGGCAAACCTCTAATAAGACTGATTAATGAAGGAGTCAGTATGTGCCTGAGCACAGCCTAGGAGGCCAGCGCTGCAGATATTGCAGAAGTTTCATTTAAACAAAGCATTACAAGTAAACTGTAAACCTACAGCTTTAAAAATATCTTCATAAGAACAAATAGAGCTGGGCATGATGGTCATGTCTTTAATCCCTGGACTCCTCAGAAGGCTGAGGCATGAAGTTTATGTGTTGTGTTCAAGGACAGTCTAGGCTACATAGTAAGACGTTGTCAAAAAAAAAAAACAGAAAAAAAGACCTTTCAAATGCTGAGTGGTCCAACTGTTTCTGGATAGGAAGCCTGTTGCTGTCCTGAATTATATGACTAGAATTTTCTAATACTAAACCATCTTTTCAGTCTTGGGACCAATCCATCTTGATCGTGGTATATCATTTCTGGGCCACATAAAGACATGCTCAGTCTGTTAATTTGTGTATAATTTTTAAACGTAGCCTTCTAAAGAAGGATTGGCTTCTGGTGTTCCTTGTATGTATTGCCCTTATTTTGTGAAGGCTCCCTGTTTTCAAGGTTTCAGCAGACTCATGAAAAGGGAGTTGGGTTTTTTTGTTTTTATAATTTTTTAAAATTTATTATTTACTTTTATTTTATGTGTATGAGTGTTTTGCCTGCATGTATATAAATGCACCCATGCATGCAGTGCCCATGGAGGCCAGAAGAAGGTTGCTAGATCCCCCTGGAACTGGGGTTAGGGATAGTTGTTAACTGCTGGGAATCAAACCTCAGTCCTCTGTAAGAGCAACCAGTGCTCTTAACCTCTGAGCCATCTCTCCAGTCCTATAGTTTTTAATTTTTGAAACAGGGACTCACAATCTAGCCCAAGCTGATTTTAAACTCATGATCTTTCTGCCTCCACATCCTGATTGCTGGGATTATAAGCCTGTGCCACCACACCCAGGCCAACACTTATTCTTGTTTTTAAATAAAACAAACTTGGAACCAAAGAAACTTCATCGCTTAATAAATGCTACCCATCAAACATCGACATTAGCAGTCTCAGTAGTGAAATGTTGAGGCTTTTGTCAAAACTGGGAAAGAAGCAAGGATTACATCTGCCACCACTTCTAGTCACCAAGTGAGGGAAGACAAGAGAAAGAAATAGGGAACAGCGACTAGAGAAACAGTTCTTTTCCAGGAGCCCAGTGTTCTCTGTGAGACACCCAAAAGAGTCAAGCTGAGGCTGCAGCGACGTAGGGAACTCAGATCTCCCGACAGCCGCTGTCCCCAGTTTGTACTGATAGCTACTGTCTCCCAGGGACCCTTCTCTCCACAGTAGAACAAATGCCATCTCCTCTGCAGAGGCCTGACCCAGGCAGGCCAGAATGATGTGAGTGCCCTTTGTTTAGTCCCATGTAAGAGTGTTGCTGGTATGGAGATGTGGAGTCTGATCTCAGGGCCAGGCCTTTTGATTTGACGTAGCTATCATCCTCATACTGTTGAGACTGAAGTGGACAGAACAAGCGTGAGAACGTGTCTTATGTCAATCCTAGCCATGGAGGCCTTGGGCTTGACATCTGTGAACTTTCAAGCCTGTCCGTGGCCATTCTGCATTCACCTGCCTCACTGTCACACGAGTTCCTCAGACCACGTGAGTGACCCAAACCTGCTGATCGTGCTGGAAGCAGAGAGCTGGAATCAGGATGCTGGGCCTGGGGCATCAGCCCACCTCAGCTTCACATGACCTGCCGTCCTGGACTCCTGCCAGTTCTCTTGACCTCTCCAAGTACACGTGTCCTCCCTGGCCTCTCTCCGTGGGTTAACAAGCTTTTCATCCCTGTCAGATCCAATCAGCTCTTGTTACTTCAGTGAGCAGCTAAATCAACAAGGAAGCCACGTGGGTTTGGTCACCAGGGAGCTGGACATGTGAGGACAGATGGTGGCAGAGACAAAGGCAACCAGTCCCTCAGAATGAGGAGAGAGCAAGTGGCAGGGGGACACTGAAGGGGGCCCAAGAAGGTGAAGACAAGGAGAAAGGCCAAGGGTACAGACAGAGCAAGCACAAGGGAGCTGGCACATCCAGTTCTTTGGATGAAGGGCCACACCTGATCCTCCAAGAGGACAGTATTAGTTACTTTCAGTGACTTAACAAATTACTACAAAATTTAGTGGCTTAAAACCACAATGCAGTCAGATGTGGTGTCACACACCTTTAATCCCAGCACTCAGGAGGTAGAGGCAGGTGAATCTATGTTTGAGGCCATCCTGGTCTTCACAGAGAGGGAGTTCCAGGCCAGCTCGGGCTACAGGGAGCCCCTGTCTCAAAAACAAAGCAAAAATATTTTTATCCCTCACCACAGATAAGGAATTCGGGGCCCATTGGCTGGAGGTTATGTCAGTTGCAGCTAGTGAGCTGACAGCTTGCCTGTAGCCACTTCCACGGTGATTCATTCACCAGATCACAAGCCGGTGATAACTGTCAAGACCTTGGTTCCTCTGTGTGGGAGTCTCTCTATTGGGTTAAGAAGTGTTCACACAGATAGCTCACCTATGGAGTCCACTCAGTCCATATGGACATTTTACATCAAGGCTTGAAACTAAAATTGCCACCATCCTTCTCCAGGAAAGGAGAGTCTGCGAGTGGGAAGGGACTTTGTCCAGGGCTCGTGAAGAACATTGTCTACACAATGGAAGAGGATGGTCAAGGCACCCACTACACATCACTCCTGAGGCCCTGAGGCCCTGAGGTCCTGATATTACCTCTCTCTCTCTCTCTCTCTCTCTCTCTCTCTCTCTCTCTCTCTCACCTACCATAGCCAGGGTTCCAGTCCCTCAACCAACCAGTGTTCCCCAACATTATGGCTCAAAAAGGCTTCAAATGGGAATGTGGGACGAGGTCAGTTGTGGAAGTCAGGAGTGGTAGAGCTTAGGGCCAATTGGAGAGTGCCTAGTGACACTGACTCTACACTGCACTGGCCAAACTGCTGATATAGGCCTCTGGCCATAGACTGAAACTCAAAAAGACAAGATGAGATAGACAGACCCCAGCACATAACCCACATACTCTTCATGTACACACACACACACACACACACACACACACACACACACACACACACATCTATATATGTGCCAACTCTCAGCACTTTAAAAAGCAAAATTTCTGCTCCTTGCCTGTGCTGTGGATCTATTAGAAGTGGACCCCCATGAGCTGTGAGGTTGCTCCAAAGTACCCTTGCTTGCTCCCCACCCCCACCACCACCACATACACATACACCTGCCATTCCCTTCCTATTGAACTGGTCCCAGGGAATGGAGGAGGCAGGGAGGACTTGCTGCAACAACTGCCTCCCATAGCACCCTGCTCCAGAGCAGAGACCTTCAGGGCAATCTGTGCTTAAAAGCCAGAAACAGTAAAAGCCACACTAGGGTGAATTTTTGTGCACAAAGGAAGGGCCAGAGTCAGGGGTGTCTACAGACAGAGGGACTGGGAACAAAGGAGGTTTGTGCCTCCCAATGCATGCAGAGGTATCCACAGGCCTGCCTCAGAAGATGCTATACTGTGGGGCCAAGGCTTGTGGAGCCCATAGGATGGGATGGTGGAAGGTAGCCAACAAGACTGGCAAGACTCACTCCTCCTTTAGCACTGGAGGCTCACCCTAATCAAGGCGACTTCTGGGGGCACATCACCATCATTTCCCCCTGGGGCAAAAGGAAAGAGCACAAGAGACTTCACGGGGAAGGAGAGCTGGCTGCCTTCCATGATCCAGGCTGCAGGTGAGGAATGCAAGTGAGGTGCTTGTCCTGAATCATAAGGGTGCTGCTGCTCTCTGGGCTATACTGGCTGTTATCCTCTGCCACCAGGTGGCAGCAGTGATCTTCATGCTGGTCCCACAGCAGGAGCCTGAACTCTGCATCTCCGCATCGCAGCAACCAGCTACAGCAGCTGTCCCACTAACTGGACTAAGAAGGGCAGGCAAGGTACACAGAGCAGTCTTGAGGGAAACGGAAGGGAGATGTCAGGAGCCAGGGCAGCTGAAATACCAGAGTACCCAGAGATGCTCCCTGTCAAATAGAGAAGCCTCACAGACTTGGGTGAAGGTGGGAACACTCTGAGGATGGTATAGAGGCTGTCTAGATGGAACCCATGCTGGCCAGACTATGGACTGTTACTATGACCACTGGATGGTGGCTCTGGGTGACTTCTATTTATGCATCCTTTCTGGGGGGCAGGGTCCTGTGCCCAGGATAACTGTCCTGAGTGCCCCACTCCCTTCCTCCCTTCCCTTCTCAAGGCCCAGGCTGAATTCACTCATTCACACATCACCTTCCATCCCCAGGAAGCATCAAATGACAGACTGTATTCTTATATGATTTGGCAAGTTGGGGAGGGGGGTATGGGCATTAGGAAGGGATCTGAAGAAAGAAGGGAAAAGAGAGAGGGAAGTGTGCATGGGGTGGGGGTTCGTGCTCACAGAAGAGCACCTGCCTACTGACCCTCTCACTGGGAGACCCACCACCCAGGGAGAGAAGGTAGAAGGCTTCCAGGGAAAATCTAGCGGGTACAGGCCAAGGAACTTAACAAGGTAGGCCCCAGTCTCTGAGAGCCTCTGAAGAAGTGACCTCCCTCCCACCCAAGACAACTGATGTGGGGTGAGGCAAGGAAAAGGCGTGGTGTCAGGTGGTCCAATGTGCTTGTTAACTAAGAAAGGGATATGACAGGAGGCTCACAGGCTTGAGCACAAGGATACCAAGTCCAAGGAGGGTCTTGGGCTCTGAGAAGCTGTGTGAACTTAAAAACATCACTTTGCCTGTCTGCTCCTCAGTTTTCTAATCCAGAGTTAAAAGCAGGTGGCAAACACAGCTTCCTGGAGCACAGCTGGAAAGGACTGGGGGGGCCAGGGTGTGACAAAGAAGCTGCTCCAGCTGAACAGGAGAGTGACCCCCAACAGAGGTGTCCAGGGTCCCCCCAAAGTCTCAGTAGGATGGAAGCAGAGGCCATTCTTGGAGGAGGTAGAGCTGACCAGGATCCTGGTTGTGGAGCTATTTGGCCTCTGGTACTTCTCACAAGTGTGTCTCCTTCTCCCAAACAATGAGTCCTTGCATTGGAGAGGGCTTGCAGCCTTGACCAGTGGTGCCATCCAGAGTTGGACGCTGCCCTGGCTGGGGCAGGCTGGGGTCTGGTGTGATGAGTCTTCGAAGACGCTATGGAGAAGAGTGGCAGGGAATGAAGGGGTGTCATGGAGAAAAGGGCAAGTGCTCTTTGTGGGTGTGTCCCCAGGCCCAGCACAGAGCCAGGCACCTGGGAATAAAGGCAGGATGATTCCGAGACAAGAAACATACACTCACATGATGATTGAGAGTGTGAACTGCCTGGGCTCCAGTTCCCACTAGAACTTCCTATGCAATCTTAGGAAACTCACCTAACTCTTTTGTTGCTTTATTCCCCTCACTTTCCTCATCTGTAAAGTGGGGATAACAGAACATACTTTTATGGACAGTTCCTGGCACCAGGTAAGTGGTAAATACATGCCACTGTTGTCATTACTACTCTTATAATTACTATTTTTATGTGTTCAGTAAGTATCTATAATTGGTAGTACTACTACATCCTTGTTATGTTGCTTTGAGTAGCATCAACCCCACTTCCTGACCTTGAATGTAGATGTGATGACTGGAATCTTGGCAACCTCACTGTGACCATGAAGTAATAAGTATAACAACAAAAAGACATGCAGGCATGCTCAGGATGAAAGTGTGGGGATGCAGGAAGAGTCTGGACCCTAATAGTTGCTCAGCAGCTTAACCAAATGCCAGCAGCCCCCACCTCTGACTTTCTTGATATGCAGGAATCAAAGAAGCCCATTTGCCTGAATTATTGTGGATTGGATTTCTATTACTTGTTGGACAGTCTCTGACTTTCATATGTAAAAGTCTTTGTGGTTCGTTGGCTATGGCTCCTTCCAGGAAGGCATGTCCCAAACTACACAGGCACTGTTTGCAGTGCCTGTGGGGCTGTGGGGCTGTGAGTAAAGAAGGCAGGAGCCTGGGTGTGGTCCCCAGTTCTCCTACAGCAAGGCTCTGTGCTTTTCAAACCTTCCGCATCTGGCCCCTTTGGTCCTTGTTTGTAACTTGGTTTCCCCTGAACTACTGAACAGCTAGGCCTCAAAATCTGCCTAATAGCAGTTTCTACAGGACTGGGATTCAAGCTTTTAAGATTGTAAAACCAGAGATGTGGTCTTCAAAGGCCTTTAGGAGCCCATGCAGCCCCACTGGGAGCTGACTGTGCTCCTGGGCCCAGCCTCCCTCAGAAGCCCCCTTCACTAGGTCACCTCCATAGCTACCTACCTTCTTGAAGGAACCTTGGGTTTGCAGGAGTGTGATGATGATGAAGAGTGGAACACAAACCATGGAGGAAAAAGCCAAGAACCAGCCAATGGAGTACCCCCAGGAAGGGTACACATAGACGTTGTTGTATTTGAGAGGTGTGTACTTGCTCAAGGAGAATATGAAGGTGGCCTTAAAGGAGAAGGAACAGAATAAGACGGGACCACCAGGACTGACAGCCAAGGATGGAGGACTAGCCATCTACACTGGAGGGATCAAGGTGGGACAGTGCTGCTAAGCCATCATCCACAGGGACTGAAGCAGGAGGCGAGAGGGGGGCTGAGGAGTAGAGGGTGGACAGGGAGAGGCCTACCAGGGAGGAGCAGGGCTGTGAGGAAGGGATGAAGCAGAAAGGAGAGAGGCAGAGGGAAGGTATGTACCAGGCAAAGCCCAGGGGTCAGGAAGAGCCAGGAGATCTTCACCAGGGGCCAGGGCCGGTAGCCAATCATGTCCTCAACGTTGTCATAGAAACGGTCTGCCCCTGAGCAGACAGAATGGGAGAAAGGATGAGAACCAGAGGGTGAGGACAACTTTGTGGCCCTTAGGAAATATTCGCGTTCCTCCCCCCCCCCCCGGCCCCTACCTGTGATACAAATGGAAACGGTGGGGGAGAAGTGCAGCCCTGTCTCCCAGCCACAGAACCCCGCAAGGGGGCAGGGGCTGCCACCCACAAGCTATTGGAATGACCTCCTGCTGCCCTGTATAGAGACGAAGATCTTCTGTCTTAAGCACATGGGAACACATGAGCCTAAAGGATCCCAGGCAAATCCTTACTGACCTGTGCAGCAGAGGGTTATGGGCTCAAGTCAACACAGTGAAACTGCAAGAGCTCCCCGGCTCAGGACTACCACAAACTCAGACAAACCAGACAGGTACTAGGTTCAGAGACATTCTCCCAGTCCTAGACTCTAGGGAGCCACCTGTGAGTTCCCCAGAGGCAGCACTGCCAGGCTGATTTGTGCTTAGGAAAAACACTGGCTTTGCTTATGTGCTCAGCTTTTAAACTGGCCCTAGTTCCAGGCAGAGGCGGTATCCTCGAAAGTGAGGAAGCATTCACTAGTGGAGACATCTGGGGGACCCTCTGCTTCCAGTCCAGTGTCTTCCCACTGATTACCAACACATGAACTCCAACCCTTAAAGGGCCACAGCTTTGAAAAAGGTCCAAGTACCAAGACTAGTATTGCCAGAAGTATGGCATATTAAGGCTTATCAGCCACCTCCACCTCCCTGCGGCTGAGTTTACCAGCTTCTCTCTGAGAACAAGAGTTGTAAAGAGGTCAGAAACATCAGGGAGAGATCTAATGCTCAAGGTGAGACAGTAAGGACAGAAAAGGACATCACACAAGAAGGCTCAACTTTGCTCAAGCTCATGGCTTCTCACATGCCCTAATATGTTGTGCACATAGACTCTCTTCCCTGAGCCTTATTATAACATTGGCACTGTGGCCCCAACCTGCTGCATAGGAGCCAGCAGACCTGGGTATGATGATGGCACCTCTATTTAGTAGATGTGTGAACTTAGGCAAAAGACCAACTGCTCTGAGCCTCCTTTCCCACTGCATAGGGCTACATATAGCATGTGACCTGCCCTGCCCAGCACAGTGCCTGGCACACAGCAATGCTCGGTGAATGAAGGTGAACTTTTGCTGTTGCTAGGCATGACAGTGGCTTGGATATTAAGGCGTTGGGATTGCCACTTGCTGATCTTGGTGTTGTGGGACCCTGGAAGTCCTAAGACGGAATTCACCTTACTATAAGAAAGGAATGTATAACAATTACAGCGGGAAAGTCTGCTTTGAATGTATGAAGATCATCCATGGAGTTTTCAAGCAAAGCCTGGGTGGTGACTTGGCTGTTGGAAAGGGAATGAAGGAATCTGAGGAGTGGAGGTGGTTAGGCCAAATGGCCCTGGAAGTCCCGCCTGACTGGGATTCCACTGATGAAGGAAGTCTGTTTTGACATTGCCCCAGCTCTAGCTACCCTAAAGAGTGATACCAGGCCTCCAGGCCATGTCTGACATTCCTGGAAAAAAGAATCGGGGCAGGCAGGCCAAGATGCCTATCCTGGGCAGAGCTTGCCCCTCACTGGCCCCAGGTGATCTTGTTCCTTTCTCCACAGCCACCTGCTCCCACTCACCATATACCCAGCCGATGCAGATCACCTCAAACAGGGAAAGGAACAGCAGACATATGCCGCTGGAGGCATAGTAGTCAAAGAGCTGGAAGATGTACATCCCACCCTGTGGAAATAAAGGACCTGAGGACTGGGCAGGGTCAGCATCTGCTGATCCCCCAGTGAGCTGTGCTGTCTGCCAAGAGCCAGAGTTACTTTTTAATTAGCAAATTAATTAATTTTTGTATGTATGAGTGTTTTACCTGCATGCATGTAAGTGCATCTGTGCATGCAATGCCCACAGAGGTCAGAAGAGAGTATTGGATCACCTGGAACTGGAGTTACAGATGGTTGTTAGCCCTGATGTGAGTGCTGGGAACTGAACCCAGGTCCTCTGCAAGAGCAGCCAGTGTTCTTAACCAATGTTCTCTCCAACCTCTCAGGAGTCATTTTCGCAGCTACCAGGAGTTTGCTTTGCCTATCCCTGCCTTTAAGGACAACTTTCAGCCTCATGATAATAATTTCTGATACCTGCAAGGATGCTGAGGGGTGGGGGTAGGGGGCTATGGTAGTGTTTCATTTGCCCAGCATCCCATCTTGGAAGAAGTGGAGCCCCTCACTCCATGTTCTTTTTGGGTTAGGGTGGTGCTCTCCACCTGCTGGAAGCCTAAGTAGGGGGTCACAGCCTGAACACCTGCCGAACTCCAGAGAAAGCCCTCTTTCTGCTAGGATCGGCTGAAGGAAAAAAAGGTGAGCCAGGTGCAGCAACAGCCTTTCCTTGATATCACAGGGGGGAAACCTGCCTGGGGACCAATTCTCCTGAGGAAAAGGGGTGGGACATAGAAAGGGCATTCCTGACAGTGTTGCTGAAGCAGCTAGAGTCACTCATTTGACAAAAACAAAAATGGTTCCAGACTTCGCAGTCACCTGACCCCATGTGCTCAAGCTTGTGTGTGGCCTCTGCCATTCATAGTCCAAGTCTACTGAGTTTCAGCCTCACTGTGAGGAAGCAGAGAGGGTAGACAGAAGGAAGGGGTGGCTCTAAAGACTCAGCAGCCTCCATGCTGTCCTCTTACCTCAGTAACCAGAAGGAGTCCTATCAGGTAACACACAGCCGCAATAGCCAGGATCAGCAGCTCGCGCCGTCCACTCTTCCGAAGCTGACGAGGGAACATGTCCATGGAGGCTGTCACCAGGCACTCCATACAGACGAACTGTGGGCCAGGAGGTGAGAGGAGTGAGAGGGCTGTGCAGCCAGACCATAAGCCTTGCCCAGCACTGTCCGTACGAGACCTGCCCTGCATCCTCTCACTGTGTTCCCCTATTCTGATATGTGGGACAGGACAGCGGTAGGTCAGCCCTGCCCTCAGCCACAACCCCATGACAAGGAGTCCCAGAAAGGAGGGCCGGAAGGAAGGGAGAGGGTCTATCCCCGAAGGCTAAAAAGGCTGGGGCTGGACCATGAGGCTGGAGTTGAGCAGCTTTGGGGAGAACATTTGTGAGAGTGAGTGCCCATGTGGAAGGGGAGCCTCAATCCTGAGAACGAAGGGGTGGCACTTTCACAGTAGAGGCTCTGGAGACCCGGTACCACCCATCTGATCCCCAGTCAAAAGACTTGGACCACAGCGGGGCCTCTGATCCTTGGTCAGGAAGTAGTTAAGCAGAAGTTGAAAGAAAGTTCCAGGGCAAGGGCATCATACCTGGCTGTCCAGCCCTAGAAATATGAGCGTTATGAAGAAAAGACAGGACCACAGTTGGGACAAAGGCATCATCGTCACAGCTTTCGGGAAGGCAATGAAGGCCAGCCCAGGACCTGCCAGGTACACAGTACAATGGGTAGACTCTGGATCACTCACTGCCTAAAGAAGGCCCATCCTCAGCAATGTGTGCAAACAACAGTACCTCCAAACATCTGTATGCACCTGTGTATGTCTTGGTATGCCTGTGAATATCTGCGAGCCTCTTTGTGTGTCTATGAGCATCTGTGGGGGAAGTCTGTGTGCTGTTGGCATCTATGTGCACCTGTGAGCTTCTGTGTGTGAGAGAAAGCCTCTGTGTGCATCCGTGTGCAGCTGTGTCTATGAACTTCTATGAGTTTCTGTTTAGTCTGTGCACATCTATGAGCTTCCATGTGCATATGTGTGCATCTGTGATCTTCTGTGTGCATCTATGAGCATCTGTGATCATCTATGTGTGTCTGTGAGCATCTGTGTGCATCCTGTGTGTGTGCAGGTATCTGTCTGTGTCTGTATTTGCTTGTGAGCATCTGTGAGCTTCTGTGAAAGTCTGTGTGTCTGTAAGCCTACGTGTGCAGCTGTGTTTGTCTGCGTATGTGTACTTCTGTAATCTCTGCATCTGTGTGTATGCGTGCATTTGTGAGCATCTATGTTGTCTGTAAGTATCTATGTGTGTCTTCAGCATCTGAGAGTGTCTATGTGAGTGCATGTCTGTAAGAACCTATGTGTGCCTATGAGGAACTGTTTGCATCTGGGTGCACGTGTGAGCCTCTGTGTGTAGGCATGTGGATTGGGCTATTTTGAGAAAGCAGGGTGGGTTCATTGTTTGCTATTTCCTGGGACCAAGTCATTCAATTATGCATGCATGCATATGTACACATATTCTAGTCTGGGCTAATCTCCTTCTCTCCTCCCCCCACCTTCTCTCTTTCTCCCCTCCCCCCACTCTCTTCCTCCCCTTTTCTCTCCCACTGCTCTAAAAGCCCTGCTTTATGCCACACAATCCCCTACCCCAAGCTAAAAAGGTTCCTGTCTCCATGCTTCTGGGACTCCCACCTCTCTGCAGGAGGATCTTTGTTCTCTGACTCTCCTTCCCCTGAGTCCCAAGCATCATGTGGGGTGTGTCACCTACCTGACTCAGCCACTTCTGAAATGGGCACTCCTTGCTCTTGGGACATGAAGCCCAGGATGGAGAAAACAACAAACCCAGCCACAAAGCTGGTAGCACTGTTCAGGAAGCAGAGGGCGATGGAGTCCCTGTGGAGACAGCAGGTTCAGACACAGGTGGGAAGGGAAAGAGAAAGGAGGGGAAAAAAGTAATCAGAGAAGAAACGAAAAGACAGAGGTTAAAGGGAGAGAAGAGGATGAGAAATGGGGACACACAGGGCAAGGAGAAAGACATGGCAAAGAAAGACAGGCATCCAATGAGAAAGGAGAGAAAAAATTGAGTCTTGGAAAGGTGTCCCTCTGACACAGCTCCTACTCCCTGTGCCCAGGATAGTGGGTCATGGTCCTGGAGCCCAGGCCAAGGACACAGGCCCTCTTCAGCGCTCACAGAAGCACGGTTGCCCTCACCTGCCCCAGCCCAGCGGCTCTTACCTGTAGCAGTTGTTGTGGTATTGGTTGTAGCTGCCTAGGGCCGTCAGGCACCCCTGGCAGATGGCGAAGGAGAAGAAGATCTGGGTGCCTGCGTCCATCCACACCTACGGGAGGCACAAGAAAGTGATAGGGACAACAGGGTCTAGGGCTATGGCTAGCAGGTGTAGCCCCTCACCGCAGCATTGTCCACCCCTCAATGTCGCAGAGAATGGCTTCATCCTACTCCCTAGGAACTTGGCCTCCTCACTCTCTGCAGTGGCCTTCTCACAGGCAGGGCCCATTTGAGTTGGGTTCTGTAGGCGCCTAGGAAGCATCAAACGCATGTGGGCTACTTCGTGTCTCGGGTGACACTGGGCCAGTGTCTCTACACAGTGCCTTGGCACTGTGACCTGGTTCAAAGGCCACTTCATACATATATAAATAAATCCCTCAAGACTTCTTGATGGAAGCAAAAAAGCAAAAATATGCTGGACAAGTGCTAGAGAAGGAAATGCAAATGACCAGCACACACGTGAGGCAATGTCCAGCCTTGCCCGCAGTGAATAATAAAATTAAACCATGAAGTCATATTACTTGGGTCTACAAAGTCATCAAAGATTAAAATAAACTGTGATCAGGGCTGGAGGAGTGGTGCAAGCATGGGGACTTGTATTCGATCCCTATAACCCATGTAAAAAAGCCAGGCACAGGGGCTCGGGAGAGGGCTCAGCAGTTAAAAGCACAGGCTGCTCTTGTAGAGGACCCGGGTTCAGTTCCCAGCACCCACGTGACAGCTAACAGCCATCCTTAACTCCAGTCCCAGGGGACCCAATGCCCTCTTCTGACCTCCACGAGCACCACATGACACGAGTGTACTTTCATACATGCAAGCAATACACTCATACGTATAAAATAAAAATAATAAAATATTTTTTTAAAGCCAGGCACAGTGGCATGCACTGGTAGCCCAGGGCTGGAGAGACAGGCAGATCCCTGGAGCTGGCTGACCAGCAGCTAGCCTAATCATTAATCTCATGTCAGTGAAAGACCCTGCTTCAGAAAACATGGTAGTCAGCTCCTGAGAAACAACACTGGAGGTTTTCTTCTGGCCTACACACACACACACACACACACACATGAACACATATGCACACTCACACATACAGATACACACAAATTAGAATCAAATCACACAAAAACCCTGAAGAAAGAAGGGTGTCGTCAAGCAGTGATGGTCAACATCTGCATTTCTCTGTTGTCCCTTCACATGGGTTCAATCAACCCACAGATGGAAAATATTCAGAAGAAACAGTTGTACCTGATCTGAAGTAGACTTTCTCTTATCTTAACACTAGCCCCTGAATGACACGGAAGAGCAACTGTTTACATAACACTGATGTTATGTGATAACACTGTTATGTAATAACATTTGTAATACCAATTCTGTGGTATTATAGGCAATCTAAGATGAGTTAATGTATATTGAAAGATGTGCATGGGTTATACACAAATACTTCACCATTTCAGATAAGTCTGTGGGTTTTAGTGTAATGGACAATCACCCTCAGATACTGATAGACCCTGTATATTTAAAAATAAACATCGCCTCAGTGTCTGAAGCCAGGGTTTGAGCTCTAGCAGGGCAGGGAGATGATATGTTTTCTCCATTGCCCTATCACTAGAACCAGAACAATATCTAATACTTAAGAGGCCCTCTGAATCCTTTTGTTGAATAAATGAATGAGTTACTTATGGAGGAAATACTATATATGTATTGAAATGACATTTACAGATACAGTTACAAAAATGACTGAAATTTAATAGCATGGAAAAGACTCATAATATAATTTAAATCACAAAGGATGTATTTCTCAAAATAAAATTATCTCACTTGTGTCAATGTGCACACCACCTAGAACAAGAGGTGAAAAGGAAACACTAAAATGCTGGCAGATTATATCTAAATGGAAGGATTTCAGAGATTTCATCAGTTCCTTTCTCAGTTTTCTTTGATGATATCTAATTTTTCTCCAGAGTGCATCTATTCCTTTTAAATCAAAAGAAAAACAATAGACTTTCAAAGTACAGTATAATCTGAGTTAACACTCCCCATGTGGTGCCCACCTGGGGGTCCTTGAGTCGGAGCAAGTCTGGCTTCAGGTAGAAGATGATGCCCTGATAGGCTCCAGGAAGAGTGACACCCCGGATCAGGAGAATGACGAGCATCAGGTAGGGAAAGGTGGCTGTGAAATAAACAACCTGGAGGGAAAGCAGGACAAAGTCACTTCTGGCAGGGGGCAGAGCAGCAGATGGAGGTAAGGAATCTTCCAGTGGGTCATCCTGCCCTGCCCCGACCTGTCCCCAGGCAGAACTGATCACACATCACACTCAACTCAAGCTTCCAACTCCACACAACTTATGGCAAGCACACAAAAATTTCCACCCCTCCCTTGACACATTCCAGTGGGTGTTATGCCCCAGCAGAGTGTGATACACATCAGCAGAGGAAGGGGGGGAGGGCACAAGGGGTAGGACAAGGAGAGGAGCCCATAACCTTTCAAAGACTGTTTGAAATCCAAACCCTGGAGACCACCAGAGAGTGCAGGGCTCTGGCTTCCCTATGGTGTAGGTGCTGAGAACAGAGGGGACTGCCTGAGAGTTCCAGGATCCTGCCTCCACGTGGTGGTGAGCTTCACCTAATTGTGCCATACCCATCCCCCTACCTGGGATTTCGTGAGGCCCCTCCCAAGGCCCCAGGGCAGATCTGGCTTTGGTAGCCTAAGGCTGAGATCCTAGCAAACAGCCTGAGAGAGTGGGTCAGACTTCCATCAGTGTAGCAGTCAGGTTCTGGCCTCATTCTGGCATAGAGGTTGAGAACACAGCAGACAAACCGAGAGTCCCCAACTTGCCCACCGCCCCTTAGGGAATTTCCCAAAATTTCTCTGAGTTCCTGCTAAGAGAGGTCCAAACCTTAGAAGGAAGCCTGAGTGTACCTGACCAGAACCTGACTTGGGCTTCTGTGGGTGCTCCTGAATAGCTGATCTGAAGCCATCAGTTCCCTCCAAAATAAAACCTGAGAGAACCTGAAACCTGTACCAACCAGCTTTACATAACCAGTAAAGATAGGACCTAGGCACCCCAATAATATAAACAGATGCATACTTCAACTTAATTCTCATATCAGAATCATAAACAACAAAATAAATTCACATGCCAAAATCATAACAAGAATAATAAAATGGAAAGCCAAAACACCATGTCCCCACCAAACTCCACTGTTGTAGGGACTCTTGAGCAACCCTTGGGTGGGGGGAGTTGGCGTGGAGTCACAACACAGACACCGGGAGTAGGTGAGAAGCAGGCAGTAGGAGCAGGGGCAGACTTGTTTCACCAAACAACAAACAAAAGAGCGAAAAGAAGATAGGGATAATGTTCTGAATAAATTCACAAAAGAGATAGAAACACTGAAGAAAACTCGGGCAGAAATGAAGAAATGCAAAACTCAATAAGTCAACTTGAAACAACAGGGGAAAGCCTCACCTCTAGAATGAAGGAAATGGAAAACAGAATATCAACACTGGAGGGTAAAGTTGAAGACTTGGACCACTCAAGCAAAGATTATGGAAAATTTTATAAAAACAGAGGAATAGAATATGCAAGAGATGTGGGACATCATGAAAAGACCAAATCTACATACCATAGGAATAGAGGAAGGAGAAGAATTTCAGGTTAATGGTATTGACCAGTACTTAAACAGGATTGTAGAAGAGAACTTCCCGAAATTAGGGGAAGACATCCCCATACAAATACAAGAAGCACGCAGAACACCAAATAGACAGTATCAGAAAAGAAACTCCCATGACATGTCATAGTAAAAACACTAAATGTACAGAACAAAGAGAGAATACTGAAAGCAGCAAAAGAAAAACAAGTCACACAGAAGTCACATACAATTGCAGCAGACTTATCAATGCAAACTATGAAAGCCAGAAGAGCCTGGACCAAGTTGTTTCCAGTTCTACATGACAATAGATGCCAGCCCAGAATACTTTATCCAGAAAAAATGCCTCTTATAGTTGAGGGGGAAAGAAAAATCTTCCATGACATGAAAAGTCTGAAAGAATACATGACCACAAAACCAGGCATTCAAAGAATACTTGAAGCAATACAAAGAGAGGAGAAAGAAACAACTATACACAAGGGGCAATGAAAGAAAATAAATAAAGGTATAATTGAAGAAACACAAAATTAGACAACACAAAGAGCAATCAAAATGATGGCAACCAATACACATCTTTCAATAACAACTTTAAATATCAATGGACTGAACTCCCCAGTCAAAAGGCACAAGCTATGTGAATGGATTAAGAAACAAAATCCATCTCTTTGCTGTCTGCAAGAAACCCATCTCACCTTCAAGAACAGGCACTACCTTAAGGTAAAAGGATAGAAAAGAATATTCCAAGCAAATGGCACTAAGAAACAAACAGGAGTTGCAATTCTAATATCTGACAAAATAGACTTCAAATAGGCTTCTTCATTCTGATCAAAGGAACAATTAACTAAGAAGAATTACAATCCTTAACATATATGCACCAAACTTTGGTGCATCCAAATTCATAAAAACAACACTACAGGATTTTAAAACACAGATTAACCCCAATTCAGTAATAGTAGGGGACTTCAATACCCCATTGTCTCCATTAGACAGGTCAACTGGACAAAGAAAAAATAGAGAGACATCTGAATTAAATGATACCATACGTCAAATGGACCTAACAGACATCTTTCGAACATTCCACCCAAGCACCAAAGAATACACTTTCTACTCAAAACCCTATGGAACTTTTTTAAAAATTGACCACAACTGGACCACAAAACAAACCTCAATAAATACAAAAAAATTGAAATAATTCCATA